CACCAGGAGAAGGCTGCAAAGTGGAAGACGTCGGACGGGCAGATGGATGGCTTGACCACCAACGGCGTGCTGGTGATGCATCCCCGTAACGGCTTCACCGAGGACTCCAAGCCGGGCGTGTGGCGCGAGATCTCCGTCTGCGGCAACGTGTTCACGCTGCGCGAGACCCGCTCCGCCCAGCAGAGGGGTAAAATGGTGAGCGGCCTGTGACGCGCGGACACGAGATGGGCGTCGGAATCGCAGCCTGGGGGGGTTCTGCTAGCAGGAGGCGGATTATAGTCAGGATATGGGCGGAACCTGGGAAAATCCCTGAGCTGTGAAACATGAGTTCGATTCCAAATAGGAAATTCTGTTTATGGGCCACTAGGGGTCAGAAGAGGCTTGGGGGGGCAGGGGGTTTTTGTGTTCCTTCCTGTAGAGCGACCCCGCCCGCCGTTTCTTAAATTCCTCCTTTGACTAGCAAGACAGATTTCAAAGCCATAAGCTGGATTCGTCAGTGTGTTTTGTTTGGGCGAGGTTCCTGTGGCAACCACACAGATGTTACTGTGGGCGCGTGTCCTTTGGATGAAACGTGACTCCACCGAAGGTATCTGCTGCGCCGGCCCGGGACCTGCTGGACGGGTTCCTGTGCATGGGTGGAGAGAGCTCTGCTCCGCGGTGCAGATGTTACACCAGGGAACTGTGGGTAATGCCTAAGTGGCTGTTTCACTCTCTGCTCTTCCCTTTGCTCGGCGTATACAAGTAGCTGTTTATGGAACTGTCTTCACTCTTTTCCGAAATGCAAATAAGCAAAAACGTCAATGGGAAATGGGCATTGCTGAAGTATTTCTGCGGTGGGGCGTCTCTGCAGTGATTTTAGATGTAGCAAAAAGGAAAGGGGGGGATTGGAGATGGGTTGGGTTTCTTTGTCTTTGGGGAATTTTCAGACGCTCCCTGGACTGACTGATAGTCTCTGATGGTCATTCTGTACATGTTCGGTGAAATGACGCTGGGATATTGTGCTGAGGTGCTTATGTCAGGGGCCTCGAGGATGTTTTCTCTGCGAAGTCGGCGAGGACACCTTTCTGTGTGGAAACTGGGAAAATTCACTTCGGAGGATCCTGGCTACTGATGTTTTCACTAAAGGGCTGGCATTGCGTCTCACTTTCCCCCGAAAAATGTCTGCTCCGTTTCACTTCAGCTGCTCCATGCCGCAGCTTACGCTCCATAAATTTACACCACTGGCGTCGCTAAAAAATGTACAGGAAACTGGCGGCATCTAGAGGGGAATAGAGGGATTGCAGCTTGACATTGAGAGCGGTGCCGTGTGCCAGACTGCCAGATGAATCAGGGTCTGAGTTTCATGTCCTTCCCCTCCTCGCCCCCGCAGGTGGAGAACGAGACCCAGGAGCTGGTGGACGGCTCGCTGATCGACCTGTGCGGCGCCACGCTGCTGTGGCGCACGGCGGAGGGGCTGTCGCGAACGCCCACGCTGAAGCACCTGGAGGCGCTGAGGCTGGAGATCAACGCGGCGCGGCCGCAGTGCCCCGTGGGCCTCAACACGCTGGCGTTCCCCAGCATGCGGCGCAAGGACGTGGTGGACGAGAAGCAGCCTTGGGTCTACCTCCGCTGTGGCCACGTGCACGGCTACCACGACTGGGGCAACCGTGCCGAGCAGGCCCCCAGCGGGCAGCGGGAGTGTCCCATGTGCCGCACCCGCGGCCCCTACGTGCCGCTCTGGCTGGGCTGCGAGGCCGGGTTCTACTTGGACGCCGCCCCGCCTACTCATGCCTTCAGCCCCTGCGGCCACGTGTGCTCAGAGAAGACGGCGACGTACTGGGGGCAGATCCCGCTGCCGCACGGCACGCACACCTACCACGCAGCCTGCCCCTTCTGCGCCCAGCAGCTCAACGGCGAGCAGGCCTACATCCGGCTCATATTCCAGGGCCCCCTCGACTAGGCCGCAGCCTCACTGCTAGGCCGCAGCCTGGTCGCCCTTAGCAACCGATATCCTTCGTTTTCCTTTTGACCTTTGCTGAGAATTTTGGACCTTTATCGTCCTTTTGTAAAGTGACATTTAAGTGATTCCAGTTCTGTACATATAAAGAAAACAGATTCGCTATATTTTTGTGTGAAAGAGGGAAGATGGCCAGTTTACCCTCGCACGGACTTTGTGTGAAAACTTTTTTTTAGGAGCTGAAGATTTTTATTTACTAATGTACCTAGATTTAAGGTTTAACACCCTTTCACTGATGCAATATCGATCATTATACAACTTTTCAAAGCTGTTCTACGTGTTTTTGTGTCTGTTTTTGTTCTTTTCCACTTTTTCAAAGAAAAATAACCTCAGACTATTTATGTTAATAAACAGTAATACTACCAGTCAAACTCAAACTATATTAGTTTATTGGAAAGCATTTATATTTGTAATTAATGAGATATTCTTTGTTAATGTTTTTAAATACAGTATGAATGTCAGTGAGGGTTTCCTACAGTCTTTCAGTGACTACAGCTAAAATGGAGTGTTGTTTTTTTGAACACTGGGGATATTATTAAACGCAAAGACAGTGCTTTCTGGAGGTGTTTGATATTAACTGCACCTTTACATCACTGGGGAATGATGTCAGGCCACACTGACAGGAAATTTAGCATCCTGGTGAATATTTGCGAAACGTCAGGCTGCATGTGAGTGTCTTGGTGAACGCTGGGCTTTGCGGCTTGTTTATTGTGCGTCGCTTCTGTTTTCGTCGGTTTTTAAAGCTGAGTGAGTCTCTTTCTTGGCTATCCTTTAGGTTATCTGTGTCCTTTTTTGATATCCTAAGTGCATTTTTCCTTCTTTTTTTCTTCAGACGCTTTTTTTTCTCCCTTCTATATCACAACCATCTGATTTTTTTAACAGTTGCAATGATGTCGTTCAGTTTGTACCAGCAGGACTGGGGCGGGGGGTGTTTTGTTCCTGTTTCTGTAGCTTGGGCTCGTGTTCACAGCAAATCCTGAGCTGTTTTTTTTTTTTTTTTTTCTTCTGCTTCTGAACACGACCTGTAGGGCCGTTTGACTGGTGCTCTGTGTGAAACTTGACTCATGCTAACGCCCACCAGGAGCTTGTCGCTCCTCTGAAGCCATCGATGCGCTAGTGTCTCAGATGTAGCTATAATGCGCAGTGGCCACTTTATTAGGTACACCTAGCTAGTGCTGAGTAGGACCCACTTTGCTTCCAGGACCAGTTTAAGGGTAGATGAGTTCAGAGAAACCTTTATGCACACCACTGTTTAATGGTGCTGTTACTGCAACTGTGGCCTTCCTATTAACTTTGACCTGTCTGGCCGTTCCGACATCTCATTGACAAGGTGTTCTCTGCAACAGAACTGCCACTGGCTGTTTTTAGCTTATCACATAATTTTTCTGTGAACTGTGGTTACTGTAGTGTGTGAAAATGTGTTTGAGAGTCTGCCACCAATAATTGCACCACATTCAAAATAGATCAGGTGTCTAACGCTTAGGCACAGAAGTAAACCTCCTGAGACTGTGGATTGTGTGTGAGCGGCTGTACGATTGGCTGTTTGCGTTAGTGAGGCAGGTGTACCTAA